TTTATGAAGTGTTATGGAAGGAATGAACTTAGGTTGCCATTTTTGAGGCTATTTCTTCAAAAGGAACCATATATGTGTTGCATGAGTGTAAAGGTTTCACCTTTACGTGATTAGTGGGTATGGAAAGGTCAGATCTATAGGCTAGAGAAGCGGATCTGACCTCAGAAGGTCATTTGAGTGTTGCCATGAACGCTACTCGCCGAGTTCATAAGTGGACACGACGAGTCGAGTCGGGGTTGCCCCGCGATTCGTGACAGGAGTAACCCGTCGAGTGAAGGGATGACTCGACGTGCCAAGTGAGGCTAGAAGGATTCAGAGGACCCGCATGGACTCGCCGAGTCGCCCATGTGCACTCGACGAGTCGGGTCAAAGTTTGACCGTTAACTTCAGTTGACCTTAGGGTTTTGGTCAAGCTGATTCAGGAGAGTTCAGGGAGGGGTAGAATGGCCTTCTACCCAATCTTTAGTGATGAGACTATGAGAGGGTATTGATCAGGAATGCTATTCGGATGATAGGAGGAGGCTAGGTCGGGACGTCAAGCACGAGAGTTTATCCGACTTCGTACGAGGTGAGTCTTCTCACTATACTGTACCTAGGATGGTACCTATGTGTGACCGGAAGGTCTTATATGCTATGAGATGTATGTGGGTGTATGCTGTTATATGATATGTATGTGTTATGTATGTTATGAATGAGAAGGACCGGAAGGTCATTATGATGTGGACCGGAAGGTCATGATGTTATGGACCGGAAGGTCATTACGGGTAGGACCGGAAGGTCTACCAGGGTTGTGGGACGGAAGTCCTCTGAGACACAGTGACCGGAAGGTCTTATAGCCTTGAGTGGCGTATGTGCGTATGTGGTACTTTGGGGAACTCACTAAGCATTTATGCTTACAGTTGTTGTGTTATGTGTTTCAGGTACTAGCGAGGATCGCGGGAAGGCGTCGGCATGATCCGTACACACTCATGGAGTTTATGTCTTGAGATTCTGGGATATGTTTTGTTATGGTAACATTGGATACAGTATGTTTTGATATTATCTTATGAATGAAATTATGTTTTAAAAATGAAAAATTGTTTTGAAAAATTCACGTCGTTACAATAAAGTGGTTCGTTTCAATTTTGTGGTCCGTTCTTCAAGCATCAACTTCTGTGATTCCAACAGAATTGGAATTCGTGATTCCATTCCAACAGAATTGGAATTCGTATCTTACCTAACCAATTGCAAATAAAATCATATTCCCCAGCATAAACAAGCATCTGAATACCATCTTCCAAAAGCACTGGAATCCCAACTTCAAGGTTTCTCATAATGTCTTCCTTCATTGCTCGATACACCTCACCATTACACCCCCCAAAGTGTATTTCCTCTGGTACCCCTAATGCCTTTTTCACTGATTCCAAGTTCAATAATTCATCTATCTTTGACAAGTCATCACATCTTTGCTTCTCAATTCATAAGGCTGTTATACAACAATTGTTTCTATTACATATGAATTACACTTCCAGTTATGATTGTAGGATATATATACAACATTAACGAAAATTTAACAAGCTTAAATAATGAAATTGCCGCATTTGTTTGCTGCTTCTTCACACTTTGGTACATTTGAATCAATTCATTGTAATATTTTTTTGTAATTAACTGATTTTCCAAAGCGAAAATCAACATCCGCCTTGAATTGGATTCCAGGTTCAGTGACTCCGTTTCCAATTGCAAATACCTATCCAGTTGATCACAATTCCATGAGCAAAATTGAAAATCTTAAAAGTGATAGAAGATTGTAATCAACACCACCTGCAAAGGCATCAATAAAGTAAATAAAGGCGTTTGTAGAACTGAATATTCAAAGCGAATTCTACTTTCCATTTTAAGCTAGGTGGGCAAGCACTTTTTTTCTTTGAGAAAAAGTGGCGAAGCATTGAAAATCGATTTCAGATTTCAACTTCAGTTTCAGAAAAATCGATTTCATAGATTGAGCAGAAAAACTTACTAATTTTCTGGAGGAGGGGCGGCGTTGGCGGAAAGGCAGCGACTGTCGCTAGAGAGAAACGTCGATCCCCAAATAAAGGGAAAAACACGAGTATGTTACCTGTTGAAGATGAACGATGGTGGTTGATGGTGTTCGGTGGTGGCTGATGGTGTTGGTCGGCGAACGGGCAAGCTCCAGCCTCTTATCTTCTTCAATCATCGGCATCGGTTAGGTTGAAAAAGAAGGGATGGATCGGTGATAAAGAAGCAGTAACGGTTTCAAGGGATTTAAAGGAAAGCAATCCAATATTTTAGGGATTAATTAAATTTTTATTTAATTAACAAAATTAATTAATAGGTAAGATTATATATCCTTATTTAAGTTTTTGAAATGATTGGCTCACATTTATGCATACAATAACACAATACTTACTTTAAACACCTGAACATCTCTCTCTCTCTCTCTCTCTCTCTCTCTCTCTATATATATATATATATATATATATATATATAGATATATATATATATATATATATATATATATATTATATATATATATATATATTGCCCTTATTTTCACCACCAATTTTTTAAAGATGATATAAACATATTAATCAGATAAAACTATTACACAGTTAACAACTAAATAGAAAAAAAAATGATTGAATTCTAATACGCGATACCCTTTAAAATTTTAGTTTGTGGAATCGTCACAAACACTAAAATCTTCAACTTCTATCTTTGTCTTCCAAATAAACAATAAAGTATTTGATAATATTAGTTATATAAGTGATGAGAACACAAGGTTTGTGCTTCTTATATGAGACGTCTCAAGTTTAAAATCTCGGGGCTTTCAATCACTTGATTTAAAAGTGTATCCAACATTTTTATTTAACCGGTTTCGGTTTAAAACAGGTAAAAAAATCGTTTTCGGTTTTTGAAATATTTGATTCCTAACCTTTGGTTCAGTTTTCTCAAAACATGTTTTTAACAAAACCGATTTATTTTTTTCATACCGGTTTCAAAAAACGGGTTCATTCTGTACACTAAAATTATGAATCTAATGATAATTATACCCATATTTATATATATGGTGAATTTTAATGCTTTTTGGGTTGTTTCTTCTCACGTCAATTATACTAAAAATAATATATTGACAATTTATACCCCTTCTCCAATTGTTTTTTTTCCTTTGTTGTTTTCACTATCATTTTTCTTTTTTTGACAATGAGTCTCATCTCATCTTAATATTTATTTTTTCTTTGGTAACTCTTCTCATAGCTAACTTTTTTCTAAAGATTTTATAAATTGACAGTTTATACCCCTTCTCTAATTGTTTTCTTTTCTTTGTTGTTTTCGCCACCATTTTTTTTAACAATGAGTCCCCATCTTAATATTTATTTTTTCTTTGGTAATTTTTTCACATAGCTAACTTTTTATAAAGATTTTATAAAAGATAAAACTATTACACGATCAATCATTCAACAGAAAAAAAAACAAAAAAACAAAAAAAAAAACATAACTTCAAACTAAAGTATATCAGATCACAATAAAATATTGTCCAATAAAAAAATTCAAACTAATGTATATCAAATATTCAAACTACTCATGTGTAGAGGTGTGCAGAATGAACCCGTTTTTTTGAAACCGATACGAAAAAACTAAATCGGTTTTGTTAAAAACATGTTTTGAGAAAACTGAACTGACGGTTAGGAATCAGATATCTTAAAAACTGAAAACCGATTTTTTTTACATGTTTTAAACCGAAACCGATTAAGTGAGAAAGTTGGATACACTTTTAAATCAAATGATTGAAATCCCCAAGATTTTGAACTAAGACATCTCATATAAGAAGCACAAACCTTACGTTCTCATCACTTATATAACTAATAATATCAAATACTTCATTGTTTATTTGGAAGACAAAGATAGAAGTTGACGATTTTAGTGTTTGTGACGATTCCACAAACTAAAATTTTAAAGGGTATCGCGTATGATATGTTTATATCATCTTTAAAAATCATGATGGTGTAAACAACGGTAATATATATATATATATATATATATATATATATATATATAATATATATATATATTATAATATATATATATATATATATATTAAGATGATGGATTTATTGTAAAAAAAGATATTGATGTAAACAATAAAGGAAGAGCAATGGAAAAAAAATTATGGGGTTGTAAAATGTCAATACCTCAAAGGAAAAAGAAGATTGGGTTATAAACTGTCGATTTCTTATTTTTGGTATAATTGCGTTATGAAGAAATGGCAAACTAAACGGAATTAAAATCTTCTACGTATCTAAACAAGGGTATACTTGTAATTGGACTTGTAATTGAGTGGCTTAATCAAATTCTTCCTTGGAAGAATCAGCGCCCATACAAAATACATTGAGTGGGTGGATCCATCTATAGGCCACGTATGGACTAAAGGAAAATATACAAAATACAAAATAATAATATGCTAACAGTAAGGATGTTAATGACCGATCCATTTAGGGTCGTTTGGTCTAGTTTTGTTGTGGTGAGTTTCGTTAGCCATCAAACAAGGTTTGTTGAAACTTGTATGTCGGTTGACCCCAACATGTCATGCAACACATATGTGAGTTGAGGAGCTATGCAATCTACCTAAAACTAAGGTGCTAGGAAGTGGAAATGTTTGCCTAGTTATGCAGACACGTCTTATTTATGTAAGAAATTTGAGTTGTTAACTTGAAATAAAGTGCTAGGTCATGTTTTTTGTAAAAAAAAATGAAGTTTGCACACCGGAAAAAATATTCAGATACCGAACCAATAACAATAACAATGACAAATGATAAACAGTTATGTTGTTTGGCCTCAAAACAACAGAGAAGAGAATTGAGTACTTAAAAACTAGAACTAAAATGGAGGGAAAAGAATTGAGTACTAAATAACTAGAACTAAAACATGAACATAAGTACGATCGTGTTTTCAAAGGCAAACATGATCTTAGCTTGTAATCCAATGGTTGAAGTTATCATAACTTATCCTCTTTGATTCTGATTTAGTTCTTGGAAAAGCAAACATGATCTCAACATGTAATCCAATGCAAGAGTCGTCACCTTGATCTGAAAAAGGTGAACCGAAGGCGCCATTAATGCAGAGGAAATAACGTTTTAGGCAACAAGGACAACGTGAAAATAGAATATACCTTTGATAATAACTTGGCATTAGTAATATCTTTTGAAATGCTGCATAAAACATATAATTATAGATATAAAGGTGTGAAAATATAGAGAAAATAGTTGGGGCTTTTGAAAATATGTAACAAAAATAACCTTTGATAATAACTTGGCATTAGTAATATCTTTTGAAATGCTGCATAAAACATATAATTATAGATATAAAGGTGTGAAAATATAGAGAAAATAGTTGGGGCTTTTGAAAATATATAACAAAAATAGTACGTGAAATGTTTTCATTTTAAGAATACCTACCTCTTGTTTCATCTTTATAAAGGAGTTTATGTCTTCCTCTACATAAAACGAGCCAAAATCTGTTTTGATTCCTTTTAGCTCTGGAGTAGACGAATTTCCCATGGTGAAAGTAGTTATTGCTGGGCATGCTATGATAATCAAAGTATCCAATAATGGGAATGAAAAATCCGCCTTCCCTACGAAAAACCCTTTGAGACATGATAATCCATAAAGTTTTAAGGACTTGAGACAAGGCAACATAAGCTCACTCATTTTTCCATCAGATTCTTCCTCTTCTTCTTCTACAACAATATTTTCGTCCTTAACAACTACCTCCTCCATATAGTGGCAGTTGGATATGCTTAGCTCCTTGAGTTGCTTTAGGCTACCAACCATGGAACTAGTAAAAACATGTTGTAAACTTTTACAACTAATTATAGAAACTGTTGTTAGGTTAGGAAACTCAAATAATGTCAATCGATTACTCTTCCACATATACCTGAGACGTGGAAGTTTATAAAGTACTAAGGACTTTAGATGAGGTAACACAATCTCATTCGTTTGCCATCAGATTCCTCCCCATCCTCTTCTTCTTCAACAAATACCTTTTCCATATTCTCGCAATTAGTTATTTGTAGCTTTTGAAGTTGCAATAGACTACCAACTATGGCACTACTAAAAACATGTTCTAACCTAACACATCTATTAATATGGACTGTTGTTAGGTTTGGAAACTCAAATACCAAACACCGATTGCTCTTCCATATATGCGATTGCTCTTCCATATATGCGTGAGACAATCTAGATTCACCAACTCCACTTGTGTCAGGTTTGGAAGTGTAACAATAGTTGTTTGTGATTCATCAGAACCACTGTTTGTCCTTGTCCCTTCTACTGCTTCAAATACCTCCTCCACTGAAGCACATTCCCTTACATAAATCTTTTCCAGCTTTTTCAGATGTAGCAACTCATTGGATGGAATGATAATCTTTTCAACAAATGTTTTATCTGTCACATGTAATTCGATCAAATTATGAAAAGACCAATGGATCTCTTCTGAAGTAACAGCAGGGCAGGAGAAGCTTGTACTCTGCAAGGCCAAAAGAGAGACCACATGTTGAACAAATACATTTGGAAAAGTAAGGATCAATAATTAAGAGATTAATGTTGGTAACTAAAACAAGTTTCAGTTGGGTTACTGTTTTAGTTAAATATGAACAAAATGGATTATATAAACTCGTAATGTATTTTTATAATTAGATGACATATATGCATGTGAAAATTATATAAAAAGTTATACCTCCTGATGTTGTTGAGTAGTAGTGGTTGTCACATGCGAGTTAAACCAACATCGAGGACTATGTTTGCCTAACCTTGTTTTCACATACTTGAGTTGTGGAGCTGTGGACCCACCAGCTGTGAACACCCTCATCCGTGGGCAATCATTGATCAAAATCTTATCCAATGAAGGCCACTGGAACTCATTCATCCCTAAAAAGAAACCCATGAGCTCTGGTAGATCCACTAGTTTAATAGTCTTTAGATAAGGAAATGACACATTCCTAGACTTAGAAGTTGCCTTTGTTGTTTGATCTCCATCACCTTCTTCTTCCTTCACCACAATCACAATCACTTGCAACTCTTTAGCCTTAACTCTTCAAGTTGTACGAGGCTTTCAAGTGTGGAAAATGTGAATATATGTTCCAAAAGGTCACAACCCTTGATATTCAATATCTTTAGGTTTCCCAGTTGAAGCATAATAACATTGTTGTTGATCCTTTGAGTTTCAAACACCTCCTTCATCCCGTGGCAAGACTCTATTTCAAGCACTTGAAGCTTTTGCATCTTTCCTGCTGCATAACATGGAATCACACTTGACAGTGCATCACAATTTTGTGTTTTCTAGGGTATTGGCATAAGGTCCAAGAAACACCATCCCCTTGAGAAAACTGCAATAAATGACAAAGTAAATGTAAAAATTATACAAATCTTAGTTGTTTGTTACCCACAAAAAGTATTTAAATGTGGGACTAAAATTTTGGAATGCAAAATTGATGATGTTAAGAAAACAAGAAGCTTATAAGTTCATATTTTCTACTTGAAATGAGGAATGACCTGGCAATGATTTCGTATCAGCTTGTTTAATGCTGAGATGATGAGTTACTTAATAGAAATCTGAGTTTCATATTGTTGGAAATACATATACAAATACATGAATAACTCGGAATCTAATTACAAGCTGTAAAAATTTCAATCTCTTGTGTGTTCATATGAATGACACTTTTTATGCCTTCTAATCTCATTGTTGGGTTTGTATAACAGCAAATGATAGTCAATTACATGCTCTAACTTTTTCAATATCTTGTAAGGGATTTGTTGAATTTTTCTAGAATATGGTTAATATATGGAGAATATCCCAAAGAAAAAATGGATTTTAAAAAATAAATTAAACAGGTAGTTTAGTTGAATATGTTATTAACATACCTTATATTGATCAAGAAAGGAGGTAGTTGTGGAACCACCACCACCAATACACTTGAGATTTTGTAGGTGGTATAAACTAAGAGAATCAAGAAGAGGGAACAGAGAGGTGCTTGTGTGGGTAGATGTAGATGTTATTTTTTCTTCATCTTCATCGTCTCTGTTTGAAACAACTTCTTCCATATCATCACAATATCCTATCTTGACTTCTTTTAGGTTGGAAAGAAGTTTTCCCATGAGAGGTGAAAACACGTACTTAATGCTTTTGCAGTATTTCAGATTTATGGTTGTGAGGTTGTGGAATGGGGATTCTGATGGTTTTCTGTGAAGAATTAAGAACTCATTCCAGTTACACTTCCACACGTGGCTCATCCTCTCCATACCCCATATATCCAAAGTCTCAAATATCACCTCCACTCCTTTATATTCCACCAACCAAATTATGAAACGAGTTTATGAGATACATTGGGAATAGAGTATTCTGCACAGATATCCCAACAAGAAATGTAATTAGTCACAACATTAATAGTTAAGCTAAAGTTGAATTACCTCAACCATTTGTAACTGCTCATCCATTCACAACTCTTTTTCTTAAAAAATTATATTTGAGAGGGATTATTTTGATTTTAAGTATATTCTTTCCAGGAATATTAGAAAACGATGGAAATAGTCAACAATGTTAAGGATATTCCGTATTTTGTCCTTAAAATAGTGAACATTTTGTTATTTGATTGTGACTAATATGACATGGAAGAGTCGAAACAATCACAGAAAGACAGTCAAAATCAAAACACTCTTTTTCTTTAAAAAAAATGTTGTTTGAATAATAAATTCTCCAAACAAAATTTGGGTATCTATTGAAGAAAATGCATTAAACCATATATACCTGTTGCCCTTGGCTACTTTCCACCGATCCATATTTTCTCCCAATTTCTCCCGAATCATATATATACATGTAGGTAAGTACTCCCATATAAAAATTGGTGGTGCTAGGTGAGAATACATTTCTAAACCTCTTACATCCTGTAATCTTGATGCTTTCAACAGCTTGAAAGCCACAAATAGGGATACGAGAGTGATTTGCACCTTTTATCCTCCACACCTCCTTTATCTTTCCTAAATTTCTTACTTCAATGCTTCTCAAGCTGCTGGTGCCACCTTCTTCTCCAGTCTCACCAACACAATCCAAGTCAATGCTGAATAACGCTTCAATGGAACCACAATCTCTGACTTCTAACTCTTCCAGATGATGCAACAATGGCATGGGATTGCACGGAAACAAATCCACAAGTTTATCACAACCGAACACATTAATCCTTCTCAAGCTGATGCTACTTTCTTCAATTGCAACAACATAATCCATGTTAATGTTGAATAACGCTTCAATGGAACCACAATGCCTGACTTTAAGTTCTTCAAGATGACACAACAATGGCATGGGATTGCATGGAAATATATTCACAAGATTCTCACACTCACTCACTTCAATCTCTCTCAATGTAACTTCCTCACTCGTTCCAAAGTCACAAGGCCATATCTCCTTCAAATTCTCCATACCCTCAATGTGCAGACGCTGCAACTTAGGAATCAAAACCTGAAAATTTAAGTTCTATTATAGCCCTTACGAAGTATACATTATGCGATAAACTTACAGATAATTTTTCATATATATTTCACCGGTTATTAAACATAAAACACCATGTGAATGCAACCTCTTTTGAAACTTGTAATAGAAAAGATTGTTTGAAATTTTGAATTGTATCAATATAAAAATATATTTACCTCTTCCCTCAACAAGCAAGATGTTGTCAACTTATTCTTGGAATAAATGTTTGCGATATTTGGAATGTCTCCAATTTTTAACTCCACGAGGTGTGGTAGGGCAATTGTGTTCACATTCTGGCACAAACCCAATAGCTCTGGTAACCCACGCAAAGATAGAAACGTCAACTTGGGGAATGTAACTTTCTCTTCTCCACTCACAAGATGTATGAGTTCTTTCATAACAAGGCAATTGAAAACGTCAAGATGCTCAAGATTTGACATAGCTTTTGCAACACCCAGTGTGAAAAGGTATTCCAACTCTGCACATTCTGAAACAACAAGAATTCTTATATTCTGGAACGAGGAGGACTGAGAACGAAGTGAGGACTTCATCCAAACATCTTCAAGATCACTCATATTATCCACACTTAAACAAAGCACCACCGTTTTCTCAAACAACTCATTAATTCTGGATCCCAATAGTTCACTTTTCTTGGTTACCAACTTCAATGTGTTTTCGAATGAATGTTTGCTCTCCATTAAATATTCTCCTTTTAAAGAACATCCCACTGAGATCTTGAATCGTTCAAGATTCTCAAATGAAATATTCTTCGGTTGAGAATTGTTTTCATTGAACTCAAACTCTAAGGCAGAAAGGTTCTTCCTGTTGGAATCTTAAGTCATCATCTCCCTCCACCCATGTCTTCCACTCCTAAAAGGCTAACACAATTTCTGGAACAAAGTAAGGGACACCAACAAGTGGTTGGGTCTCATGTGTATTAATTATAGGATTAAAATGATTCTATCAATCCTATATATTCAGTGTATTACCAAGAGGGTAAACACACCAAAAAACACAGCAACATACATAGACATATACACATATATATGTAATTGGTTTTGAGTTATATTTCCAATCAATCAAAGAGTTATTTTGATATATATATTTGTCTGTGTCTATACAATTGTTATATTAGAATTGGTATCAGAGCCTTGAAATCAGTCAAAGGGAACTGAGAAATCAAGGAAGCTTATCTGTTTAATATGTCCGATATTGAAGATGATAGAAGTGGGGGTGCTGCTGCTCCTCCGACGAGAATCAAAGAAGTCGGAACAACCACAGTCGCTTGCCCAATGCTAAACCAGACCAATTACATGGTCTGGTCCCTCCGTATGAAAGTAGTCCTGCGAATACATAGAAGCTGGTCAGTAATTGAACCAGGAGAAGAGAATGAAGAGAAAAATTACCTTGCCATGGGATTGCTATATCAAGCAATCCCTGAGAGCCTGATAATGCAGATAGGGGACGTCGATAGAGCAAAGGTCCTCTGGGAATCTATTAAGACTCGACATGTTGGAGCCGACAGAGTAAAAGAAGCTCGACTTCAAACCCTCACCGCCGATCTAGACCGACTGAAGATGCAGGAGACAGAGACGATAGACGCTTTCGCCGGAAAACTCGCTGGAATCGCCTCGAAGTCAGCGTCACTGGGAGAACCCATCGGAGAAACGAGACTCGTGAAGAAAACTCTTGACGGTAGTACCTCATCGATTCATACAAATCGTTGCCTCCCTCGAGCAAGTACTAGACTTGAAGACAGTAACCTCGTAGGACGCCTGAAAGCGTATGAAGAAAGAATCAAAGCAGATGAAGGAGGAGACGGGCAAAAAAAGGCGTTGATGGCTAGAACGAGTGGTGGTGGTGGATGGAGAAGTGATGGCGGTGGAAGTTCTGGATCGTCGGGGAAGACGAATTGGGGAAAACGGGGGAAGGGTTCTAATGGCACCGAGTCGGGAGGCTTTAATCGAAATGGGTCAAGCGGGTCGGGTGGTGGATCCGGGTCAGTAGGATCCAGTGGGTCAGGCCCAAAAGGAAATAGACCCAATTCGGCCCAAAACAATAATAAGCCCAATAACCGGCCCAATTCTAATTCGGACTCGAACCGTAACCCGAAAAAAGATCTGTCAAAAATTATTTGTTACAGATGCGATAAATCGGGCCATTACGCATCCAAATGTCCGGACCGAACCCAAAAATTCCAAGAAAGTAATTTTACTGAACACGACGATGCCGATGAAACAGTATTTCTACACGAGTCCGTATTTTTGAACGAAGAGAAGGTGATACCGTCTCGATACAACTCACAAGAAAACGATGTGTGGTATTTGGACAACGGGGCAAGTAATCACATGACGGGAAATCGTTCATTTTTCTCCGAACTCGACGAAGGAATAACCGGAAAGGTCAAATTCGGTGATAATTCGTGTGTCGAAATAAAAGGGAAAGGCTCAATTGTTTTCCAAGGAAAATCGGGGCAACAACGATTGATAACGGAGATTTATTTCATTCCAGATTTGAAAAATAATATTTTCAGTCTCGGACAAGCAACAGAAGCCGGGTGTGATATTCGGATGAAAGACAACTATTTGACGATGCATGATGCCGACAACTGCTTATTAATGAAGGTACAAAGAACTCCAAATCGCCTTTATAAAATACAGTTGCCTATTGGAGTACCTATTTGCCTTCATACAAGACTGAGTGAAGACACGTGGCGCTGGCATGCAAGACTTGGACACATCAATTTCGAGTCAATGAAAAAGATGTCCAAGAAAGGTCTAGTCAAAGGGTTACCCCATTTTGACAGTGAAAATCAATTGTGTGAATCTTGTTTGGTGGGCAAGCAAACAAGAAAGTCATTTCCATTAATGACGACGTACAAAGCAACACGGCCATTGGAGCTAGTTCACGGTGATTTATGTGGTCCGATAACACCGTCAACGAAGGGTCAAAATCGATACATTTTCACACTAATTGACGATTTTTCACGGTATATGTGGATTTTTCTCTTAAAAGAGAAAAATGAGGCGTTTTTACACTTCAAAAAATTTAAAGCTTTGGCGGAGAATGAGCTCGGAAAGTCTTTAAAGGTGTTTCGAAGTGATCGAGGAGGTGAGTTTACTTCGCTCGAGTTTAATTCCTTTTGTGATATGAATGGAATCAAACGCCATCTTACCGCCCCATATTCACCACAACAAAACGGTATTGTGGAACGAAGAAACAGAACACTTATGGACATGACACGAAGTATCATGAAGGCGATGCATGTTCCAAACTATCTATGGGGAGAAGCGGTAAAACATTCCACAAACCTGGTCAACCGTGTTTACACAAGAGTACTTGGTGATACAACTCCGTACGAGAAGTTGTATAAAAGAAAACCTAATTTGGAGAACGTACGCATCTTTGGGTGTTTAGCGTATGCAAAAGTTGAACCGGTAAACGTGAAAAAATTGGATGCAAGATCAAGACCATTGGTTCATCTTGGTTCTGAACCGGGTACAAAAGCCTATCGGTTATTTAACCCGGTTACACAAAAAATAATCGTAAGTCGAGACGTTATTTTTAATGAAACCAAAGGATGGAATTGGGTTAACGAAACTACACCTGACAATGAAGAACCAGGATCATTCATAGTACCATGGGCTTTACCGGAAGATGAGGCAAACAACAACCAAGGAAACGATGTAAACAACGAACCAAACGAATCGGATCACGAGATTGAAGACGGAGTGGAGGTACAAGAAAATGAGCAACCAAGTCCGATCAACAAAAACGTGAACAATGTTCAAAACCAAAGGCCCACAAGACAAAAGGTGCTTCCAATTCGATTACGAGATTATGTACTTTATGTTGATGAAATTGAAGAACTTCTCCTAGCAACCAATGACGAGCCGGTATCGGTTGAAGAGGCGAAGAAAGAACCAGATTGGGTCAAAGCCATGAATACAGAGATCAATTCAATCAACAAGAACAATACTTGGTCTCTCGTAAACAAACCTATGGGGGTGAAGCCCATTGGACTCAAATGGGTGTTCAAGCTGAAGAAAAATGCAGATGGCACCATAAACAAACACAAGGCGAGGTTGGTTGCTAAAGGGTACGTACAACAACCTGGTATTGACTTTCAAGAAGTATTTTCTCCGGTAGCTCGCATCGAAACCATACGGTTTCTCATTGCCTTAGCCGCTACCAATGGATGGGAGCTTCACCACTTGGATGTCAAGACGGCTTTCTTACATGGAGAGTTGAAAGAAACCGTCTATGTGTATCAACCGGAAGGCTACATAAGGAAAGGCGACGAGCACAAGGTGTACCGTCTTTCAAAAGCACTATATGGTCTTAGACAAGCACCGAGAGCATGGAATACAAAACTTGATGGGATTTTGAAAGGAATGAAATTTCATAAGTGCATGAAAGAACCATCGGTGTACCGGAAGAACGAAGGATCCAACTTGCTAATTTTAGCAATCTATGTTGATGATTTGTTTGTCACGGGTACAAATTTGAGCATGATCAAAAGGTTCAAATTTGAAATGTCCAAGAACTTCGAGATGTCTGATCTTGGAAGATTAACTTACTACCTGGGCATTGAAGTCAAACAAGAAGAATCAGGGATTACTATAAACCAAGAAGCGTATGCTAGACGCATTCTAAAAGAAGCCGGTTTACACGATTGCAATCCGACCCACATTCCCATGGATCCAGGAACCAAAATGTCGAAGGCCGAAGATGAACCCGAAATCGACCCGACACAATACCGAAAGTTGGTAGGATGCCTTAGATATCTCTTGCAGACAAGACCCGATATGGCATATGCGGTTGGAGTTGTTAGTCGATACATGCAAAATCCAAGAGAATCACATGGTGTTGCAATCAAACACATCCTAAGGTACTTACGTGGAACAACGTCACATGGAATCAAGTACGAGAGGATGGGGCAAAACCGGATCATTGGTTATAGCGATAGTAGTCACAATGTCGACCCGGACGACGGAAGAAGCACAACCGGTCACATTTTCTACTATGGGTTGTCTCCAATAACATGGTGTTCTCAAAAGCAAGATATTGTTGCTTTATCATCTTGCGAGGCGGAGTTCATGGCTGCAACTGCGGCTGCATGTCAAGCAATATGGCTTCAAGATTTGCTAGGCGAAATCATGAACAAAGCACAAGAGAAGGTGGTCCTAAGAGTTGATAACAAGTCGGCTATCGAACTCACGAAGAATCCTGTTTTTCACGGAAGAAGCAAACACATTCACACGAGGTTTCACTTCATTCGTAAGTGTGTTGAAAAGGAACAGGTGGAGGTGAAGTACATTCCAGGTGAAGAACAAAAGGCAGACATTCTCACAAAACCATTGGCTCGAACCAAGTTCAAGACAATGCGGGACTTGATCGGGATCGAAGACATCTTTAGAAGGACTTAAAGATTGGCGGTGATCGGGAATCTCTAGAAGGACTTAGAGATTCGGGGGTGATTGTTGGAATCTTAAGTCATCATCTCCCTCCACCCATGTCTTCCACTCCTAAAAGGCTAACACAATTTCTGGAACAAAGTAAGGGACACCAACAAGTGGTTGGGTCTCATGTGTATTAATTATAGGATTAAAATGATTCTATCAATCCTATATATTCAGTGTATTACCAAGAGGGTAAACACACCAAAAAACACAGCAACATACATAGACATATACACATATATATGTAATTGGTTTTGAGTTATATTTCCAATCAATCAAAGAGTTATTTTGATATATATATTTGTCTGTGTCTATACAATTGTTATATTAGACTTCCAACGTTCTGCCACTTCATTGCACTTATCACCTATAAAGCTAATAGCCTCTCCAAAAGCCCAAAGCTCTTCAAGTCTGACCAAATTTTTAAAGACACCATTATCTATATGCAGACCACCACAACCTGTCACATCCAGTACCCTTAGCTTATTCAGATTTTGGAATGTTGAAGGTAGCCTATCAATGCTAGAACTAGCTAAGCTGAGCACTTCTAGATTTGGCAAGTTTCCAATAGAAGAGACATCAATAGCCAATGAGCATTGACGAAGATGAAGAACTCGAATGTTGGTGGAGCATTTAAGTGACGAGAAAAGCAATGGATACTTCATATGATCATATGATATAACCTGAAGCTTTCCCATTTCTTCATAAAAGTTTCGAGGAAACCTCAGCGACCAATCTCCATGCATAAGTTTCAAAATCAAGACATTTGGGAACTTGAGGTCACTAGGAAACTCAGTCATACCTTTGCATGTTAATGAGATACTTTTGCATGAGGCGCTCACCATATTTTCAGTTCCAGGCCACCCTGGGTTACTACTACCATGGTTGACAATCGAAGCATGCTCGACTTTAGAAAACATGTTCAAAACAAAAGCACGCACCAGATCGTGCATCTTAACGCACCCAACAGCATCACATTCCATCAACAAATTGGTATGCATGAGCCGCTCAATGCAGGCTTTCAGCCTGTATCTTGCTTCTCTTATAGTACCCATTTTCTTGAATAATTTTAAGCCCCATCCATACCTCAACAGGTCCTCGGTGCAAATATTGAAGTCCTCTGGAAACAAACCACAAAGCAAAAAAGTAGCTTCAGTCACCTCGTCTTGGAGATTTTCATAGCTGGTTTTAAATACAGTAGGCGCAACTGTGTTAATGTCATGGTGTTGTAAACGAGAAAGTGCATTCTTCCATGTATCCTTGCTTTTACTTCTAAGAGTGCAGGCCATGGTTTTGATGGCAATGGGTAGACCACAACACTTTCTTACAATTTCTTCTGCGATCTTATGGAGCTCAGGATCAACATTATCAGAAGGTTCTAAAAATTGGAGGAACAAACTACGTGCTTCACCTTCCTCTAGGACACTCACCTTGAGAACTGAATCAGCTGTAACTCCCATCTCAGTGCAAACTGCTTGATCTCGTGATGTAATCAAGACCTTGAAGTCGACATTTTGATTTTGGCAAACGACTTAAACCAATATCTTCCAGATCAACCGGCTGTTAGGAACCGGACCGGGTACACGCAGCGGAAACATACTATCACACACACACAAACTCACGAAAATAAAGCAAGAAGAACACAAGGATTTTACGTGGTTCGGATTCGGTGCAAATCCTACATCCACGGGCTGCAACTAGAGAATTTTATTAAAACTCACAAGATTACAATTGGCTTGACACTCTACACTTGATGTTCTCTCAAGTTTTTGCACACAAAATATGCAAAACATACATGCATATATATAGGTGAGAGAGCCGCAATTTGCACATGGAATTGAGTCGTCGTAACAATAGTACTCAAATGTGAAAGCCGCAAATGTTGACGTTGAATTTCCTTCCATTCACATTAGCCGTCCAACAATTGATTCTTTTTATTTCACATGCATAGCCACATGTTTTCAACCTTTCATATTTTACCTAACAATCTCCCACTTGAAAGTTTGAACAACATGGTCCGTCTCTGTCATCCAACTCCAGTAATCTTAAAACAACCAAGTCTTCCAAGCCTCCAGTTCCTAAGAACAAGCTAAACTTAGTCTCATTTCTCTAATTGCAGCCGCCCCTCATCTTCAAGTACTAGAAGGGACAGTTGAAGCTCCCACTAGCTCCAACTCAGTCGTGGCTAATCCCACCACCGACTCATCCTCTGTCTCAACCGGTTTGGACACTCCACCAGATCCAGAGATACACCGAGGACCACTAACACTCTCCCAACTTTGCAAACTTTCAACAGGAGAGACTTTTTCAGTCTTAGTCTTCAAAAACCCAACGGCTCTTTGTAACTGTACTCGTTCAGCTAACATCCCCTTGGCTCCAGAATTCATGTTTGCAAAATGAACTCTCTTAGCCGTAGATTTAGCGAACCAGATTTTGTCTTGCTTAACAGGGACGGTCATACTTCCCTCAGCAGATACCTCAACCATATACAATGACCCACACTTCATACCATGAGCAATCACTAGATTATCATTGATCACCCTCCATTTACCACCACCAAACCTTACTTCCAGTCCTTGTTTATCCAACTGACCAACAGAAATCAATTTCTTCTTCAGCTCCGGAATCACCCTGACATCCTTCAGGCTCCATGTAGTTCCCAATGAAGTAACCAAATCAATATCTCCCATGCCCATTACCTGAAGCATCTCGTCATTTGCCAAACGTACCTTTCCAAAATCTCCTTCTTTTAGATTCACCATCGTTTCCCCGTTGTCCATGGCGTGAAACGAAGCCCCTGAATCCATGACCCAAGAGTCTACAGAACTTTCCATACTGAGTATCAATGCATCATCCTCAGACACACTCTTAGCACCGGCAATGTTCAATTCTTTCTTTGGACATTGACTCTTAACATGTCCCACCTCCTGGCAGTTCCAGCACTTCACATTCTTCTTAGTTCTAGATGAACTTCTTCCCCGACTCCCACTGCTTCCACTATTCCTGCTATTCCCTCTACCTCTTCCGACATTTAATAAATCAGAAGAGGAAGATCCACCTTGATTCTTGCGTCTGATATCCTCGCCTAGAACCAAATCTCTAACCCCTTCAAAAGTCATACCACTGGTCCCCACGGAACTCGTAACAGCAATAACTGTTCCGGACCAGCTATCAGGTAGAGAAGCTAGTAGCAGTGATGCTTGAGTCTCGTTATCAAATTTAATTCCCACAGATGATAATCTGGACAGAATTGAATTTAGATTGTTAATGTGAACCGTAACTGAGCCTTCCTCATTCATCCTTGTAGTGAACAGCTCCTTCATCAAGAACACCTTGTTAGCCGCCGATGGTTTCTCATACATATTTGACAGAGCCTCCATCATACCACGTGCCGTGGTTTCATTCATGATGTTGAAAGCAACGCTCTTCGTCAACGACAATGTAATAACCGCCTTGCTTTCTTGTCCTTTGAGTTCCACGCATCTTCAGCAAGCTTTTTCCATTTTCTCCGGTTTGTCTCCGAGTACCACGTCCAAGTCTTTCTGACATAGCAATGCTTCTAGTTGCATTTTCCACCAGCTAAAATCAGAACCGTTGAACTTTTCGATTACAACCTTGTCTTCAGCCATTACGACAAACAAGATACAAATCAGGTACACTCGTGCGTGATAAAAAAAAATGATTGTACCCTCCAAACCTCGCTAATCTGGCTAAGAGAGTTCATTTTGCAAACATGAATTCTGGAGCCAAGGGGATGTTAGCTGAACGAGTACAGTTACAAAGAGCCGTTGGGTTTTTGAAGACTAAGACTGAAAAAGTCTCTCCTGTTGAAAGTTTGCAAAGTTGGGAGAGTGTTAGTGGTCCTCGGTCTATCTCTGGATCTGGTGGAGTGTCCAAACCGGTTGAGACAGAGGATGAGTCGGTGGTGGGATTAGCCACGACTGAGTTGGAGCTAGTGGGAGCTTCAACTGTCCCTTCTAGTACTTGAAGATGAGGGGCGGCTGCAATTAGAGAAATGAGACTAAGTTTAGCTTGTTCTTAGGAACTGGAGGCTTGGAAGACTTGGTTGTTTTAAGATTACTGGAGTTGGATGACAGAGACGGACCATGTTGTTCAAACTTTCAAGTGGGAGATTGTTAGGTAAAATATGAAAGGTTGAAAACATGTGGCTATGCATGTGAAATAAAAGAATCAATTGTTGGACGGCTAATGTGAATGGAAGGAAATTCAACGTCAACATTTGCGGCTTTCACATTTGAGTACTATTGTTACGACGACTCAACTTCTTCTTTCCTCCATGTGAATTGTAAGCGAACCATGTACGGAGCTTATCAGTTCTTGCTGGTTTAGTGGTTTCGGTTAGAGTTATACCAAGGTACTCGGCAACAGCTTGTTGGATAGCAATGGGGTCCGTCTTTTCCCCTATAACCGCTTCAACGTAATGATTAAACATTTTCTTTTCTACCACAACCTCTTTCAGCTTCTTCATCATAGTGGTTTTTCCCACTCCACCCATCCCACATAAGGCTACCATGTGGGAACTATGGTTGGGTCCGAGTGCTTTTAGTGCTTCCTTGAAAGTCAACTCTCTTGACCGGAAGTCATTCCGATCACTTGATGGTGTAGAGGTGGATGCCGTTGTGGAATCAATTCTCCCCAGAGGAATTTGCATTTGCAGATCAGTCCCTCGGATTTCAGGGCATCGTCCCAGAACACTCTCCATCTCCTTAGATATCTTCAAGGCTTTCCTTCCAAGCTTGTGCCTACTCTTGAGATCTAGGCAACCGATGATTTCACTTGGAAAGTCTGCCACCTTTTCATTCATATGTTCTACTTCTATCAACCAAGGGGCGACTTGGGCAGGAACCTCAAGACATCTTTCTCTGCTTTGCTTCTTCTGGGATTCCACACCAACTCTTGCAGCATCCAAATCCTTCATTTTTGTGTGCATATCCTCCACATATTTTTTGTAGGAAATCAGATAATCCAATTGTTTTTTAACTGGAACCATGAGAACTTGAACAACTCCTTTCACTATTTCACTAGCAACCTCCATTGCTGGCAAGTCTAAGTTGTGGAAGCACCTGCATCCATAACATACAGATTACACAAATTAACAACCGAAGCTAACAAATAACAAATTTTAACAACTAATAATAACAATTACCTCACTGTTTCTTAACTCGGTCCAGGGAAATCAGAGAGAGGCCAACTTCAGGGAGTTGGAGGTCCCTCCTTGGTTTTTTTCTGAGAAAATCGACAGCCCACTGAGACGAGAGAAAGCTTGGGTTGCTAGGCATAGAGATGTGTATGTATGAGAGAGAGAGATGAACTTTCAAAAAAAAAGTCTAAACGGGAACAGTGTAAAAGAAGTTTGAATAGTAACTTGTTTTTAGTTGATTATTGTTTATGTTCTAAAAAAAATGATCATGTAACCGTTCCGAAAACATTTAAGGCGGGTTTGTTAAGCATGGCGGTCAAATAATGTGTCATGACGTCTTATCACGTCATGGCGTGAGATTTTTCATTGCACAAGATTTTTTGGTTTTTTTTTTCTTTTTCCTGATCGGGCCTAAAACAATTAACTTTTTCTTAACTTTTTTATATTATATGATATTATAACATTTCTAAAAACATGATATGGTTGATATAATTCTATAATTATTTGATTTATCTGTTTTAATGTATATAAAATTGTCACGACTTGAAAAACGTCGTAACTCATCAAGGCTCATCGTAGCCTAGGTTTGACTTTACCGCCAAATCACGCCCCAAGCCATTTAGATATTTGTATTTAGTTGACTTATCTATTTGTAAATATAATATTTTTTATTTTTTTAGTTAATTATTATTTAGTTGACTTATCTATTTGCAAATATAATCTTTTTTAATTTTTTATTAATTATATAATGTATTATTTAGTGGTTAATATATTATAATAAAACTGTAAAAATGGTCCTTGTGATATGTATTTTTTTCTAGGTATTGATCCAAACCCAACTTTTTTGGATTGATGGTAATTTTGATCTAGTTTCGTTGTGTATTTGGTCCTCCAAAAATTAAAATGACGGTAATACATTTGGTGTATTTATTTTCTATTTTTCTTTTATTTTTTTATATTAATACTTATTTAATTATTTTAATAATTAAAAATAAGAGAGGACTTCTCTCTATCTATCTCTCTCTCCACCGGAAAAAGAAACTCACACCCAATTCCCCCAACTCGCCATCTTCTTTTTCTTGTTTCTCACCTGCACCGTCGTGAACCACCTCCAACCTCATTGAATTAAGAAAACCCTTATTTTTTCTGAATTCTCCCAAATTCGAAGTAGCCCATCTTCTGTTGTGAAGATGAAGATGAAGGTTAATGATGGAAGTTATGACGATGGTGGTTTGGTGGCGATGAAGGGTGAAGCCCCAAACTCATTTTCTCAACATCATCGGACCACCACCATCAAACACTCTCATCCAGCCATCGCCAGTAGGACCCCACAAAAACAAGTATTATTCTTCATTCTTCCACTTTCCTGCTTCGTGCTTTTCTGTTTTTCTTTCTTTTTACAGGATTGACCTTGTTTTAACAAAAAGAAAAAAACAAAAGACAAGACAAGACCGTAGAAAATGACGAACTTCGCTTCGTCCCCTCTTCCTAGTGATCACCAAGTAATAGCGATGAACATGGTAACCTTGACCTTCCTTTGAACTCGGTTTTAAGGTTGGATGTAAAAAACGATGAACTTCACTCCCCTTTATATGAATTGATATGTTGTAGATTTGATAGGCAAGATTGAATTTTGACATTAATTCTATATAGTTGATTTATGTGCTCAAAGGGTTTTGATTTTGTGTTCATTATTCAATATATTGAGGAAGAAGAAGACTCAAAAAGATGTCAACATCTGTTGGAGAAAACAAGTCATCAGAGGGGAAAGAAAAAGTCAAAGGGTGTTGAGTCAAGGGCAAAAACCAACTAGGTGAATGAAAACAAAGGATTAATATGTGAGAGGTGATGAACTCAACGATGGTGTATCTCAAAGATGATGAATTTTAACATCCAGCCTTATACTTAATTAATTTTTAATTAATTACACAATAGCTTCTAATTGATTTATCAAAACATGACAAATTTATTAAACTAATTTCTCCTATATTATTTTTGTCTTTTAATTGCTCAAATAGGTCTTATGAGCAACCGAAAAATACCCCATTATTACTAGAAATATTACCAGTAGTTTTGACCTTGACACTCTTTCCAACAAAGTTGTCATGGACAGATAAATGAAAAAAAAACAGGGAAATGTAAAAATATAAATATAAATAAATAAATAAATAAGTTCTCACGCTTCACGCTCGAAACGTACACCTTTTTTTCTATTGATTTTGCACCTCCTTCTCTGGTCGACTAACCAACTTCCTTCATTGACTGATATTGGCACCCTTATCCTTCGATTAAGGTACTATATTAGATTTCTTTAAGACCTAAAACATCCTTTTTAATTCTTTGTCTTGCGATTTGAAAAAACATAAACTTAATTTTCCAAAGCAAAAAAGAACAATTTTTTGGATTGTGGATTTTTGGGTAAATAAATTGTACAAAAGTGAAAGCATGAAGTAATACATCGGTATATGTTTATCAACATGCTAAAAATGGTATATGGAGGTGGAAATTGAAAATGATGAAAATCAGTTGTAATTTGGAGTTTTTCTGCATGATTCGGGAACCAAAAAATGATGCTTTGGCTAAGATTATTTTCTAAGAAAGCAATGAATATAGTTTTTATAAAATAATATGTGGGGTGTTCGAAGCTTACTCCTTGAGAATGAGGCATGATGATACTAAAGGGGTCAGTCAAGTTGTTCTTCGATGTTGCCTTTTGGTGATCTGGTGATTTGGAAGCTATATCCCGAAAAACAAAGTGGTAGAATTTAGTGGAGTGAAGCAATCCATGCATCATCATTGGAACACATGGCTTAAATATGTGCAGAGAAAAAAATTGTTTGATGATGAAATCATTTTTAGACTGATATTGATTCAATGGCGTTTATTTCTTTTCGAAGAAAGTCACAGATTCACCTTCTTTATGTTATCCTAAACTTTTAGTGTAGGATGTTGACGTAAGTTAATGTAATGAATGGTTTTTACTTGTGCTAATAGATAGACCAAGGCCCGTGTAATATGTATAATGGGGATAAAATGTGAAAAATGATGTCATGCATGCAGTATGTGTTGCATTATGGTGAAAATTATATTAAGGAAAATTGTAATATGTATAAGAAGTGAATTGGTGCAAAAAGTGCATCACTTTGATATAAATACAAAGAAATAGCAAAATAAGTTGTTATGGTTGCCAAAAGAGACAAAGTAAGTTATTATAGTGTGCAAAACAAGATAAAGTTGAATTAAACTTGTAAATGGATCATGGTGTATGAATTAAACCAGAGAAAGTCATTTATGCGTGTTTCAGTTCATATAAAAGTACTTGGAACACAAAACGAGAGCATATATATACTTGTATTTGGTTTCTATAGTAAGATTCTTGAGTGTTGCTAATGAAAGTCTCACTTTAGTGCAAGGAATCAAGGGTTTGTTTACCCTAATGGAAACTCAAGACAAAAAAGAATGAACTGGAAAAAATATTAAACTTATATGGAGTTAAAATGAAGAAGTTGTTACAATTCCAAAATTGTGTCTCACTTATTTGTTGTGAGAAGAGGGTGTACCACTCTATGTTCATGGAATTATAAGTTGAGATTCAAGTGTTTTAGCAATAAAAATCTAAAGAAAAGTTATATTTGACTTGAATATGAATATGTGGATATAAAGATAACTGAAATCAAAGTCTGTGTGAATGAGTTATAGGCATTTGAAACAAGAGGGAAAAAGCATGAAGAACGGGGAGACACGGGTTGTGTCCCTCAAGACACAGTCGTGTCTGAGTGTCAATTACATTTTAAACCTTTTGAACAAAATATAATGCTAGTTGAGACACTTTTAAGTGGAACAATGGCTGTATCACCATTGAGCACGACCTTGTCCCAACTTCGAACCCCAAGAAATAGTTGTTAAAATGCTCTATGTAGGTATAATGTTCCTCATTTCACTCCTTCACTCATTTGAGAGCTCCATGAATGATTTTGACTGCTCCAAACAAAAGATTGAGTCCAAATTCAAAGGAGTGTTAAATAGAAACACGAGTCAAACACTACAACTTAAATCAATGTATCATCTTCTTCCTCTTATGAAGCTTGCATGGACTTCCATGATGGAATTTGAAAGAGATGTTATAAATGTTGGTTCTATATGCTCAATAATGATCATAAAATGATAATGTCAATAATTTATGATCTTTAAGGGTCACACCAATAGCAAGTAGACACCAAAATGTTCATTTTCACTTATAAATTTCATTCTTAGTAAAATGATATAACTCTTGTGATTATTATTTTATGAAACTAATAATAATAATAATAATAATAATAATAATAATAATAATAATAATAATAATAATAATAGTAATAATAATAATAATTGAAATATCCTAGATTATACATATTTTGAGGGACACTTCATATACTTTTAGAGACATTTTTACGACTAAAATATGGAAAAGATGTTTAATTGCTTTATATTTATATTTTACAACTGAAAATGGCATGTTGGTGAAATAGTAGTTGAAAATGACAATTTTAGACATAATTTCGTGAAATATTGAGCAAGAAAGATAGTTTGAGTTAATTATGGAAAAGATTATTAAGATTATGCAGATAATTTTTGGATTTTTTTTTTCACACCGTAGTTAAGGATATTAGTGAGATTTAAGTTGGTTCTAAAAAATTATAAATAGACCCTCAAATTCGTCTAGAGCAAGAATATATCGTAAAATAATAAGAATACAGAAGATCAAAACCAAAAGATGCCATTTTGAGGGTCTAAAGGCTATATCAGCCGACACGCTGATATAGATGTTGAAATCTGAAGATCAAGAGAAGAAAATCATTATTTTATCAAATTGTTTACTGGTTTATCTATAATTAGTCAACTATTTTATTTATTATATGTTATTTTAAAGATTTGGAATTAAACCCTTTATGATAATTTGATACTTATAAAACCCTAGTTTTATTGTTGATTGATATTCGGTTATTGAAAGATGTTGACCTTATTATGATTGTTTGATTAAATATCTATGCATATAAATATTGGTTTTTTTATGTTTATATAATTAAGTGTATGATATAATATTAGGTTTGGATTATGTATCTTATATCATATTGTTTTGCTAACATTAGTGGCTCAGAA